GTAGTTTAAGTTTGTACATATATGCGAAAAGAGCTATGGATTACATGAGATATACATATCATGCAAAGTTTGGATTGTAGATACAAAAATGGCACCTCGATTTTTGCATGAAAAATCATATTATTGTGTTTTTTTTAAGGAAATTAAGTTATTTATACAAGTTCTTATTTTAACGATGCAACCAATACCCTAACCTTTGCAAATGCAAAACCTGATCGCTTTTTTGTCTATTAGATATACAATAATTCCGATCCCACTGCTAATCCAAAGTGGATTTTGCTAAGAGAATAAGAATAGTAAATCTAGAATAAGTTAGACTGTCGCCCAACATCTCTTATTGAGGCGTTCTTAGCGAATAACCCATTACATAAGAAGATAAACACATTACTGGTAAGATAGGAATAAAGTATGATGCACTGACCATTTAGCCTGAATAGGTAGCTAAATTAACGCGATTGACTAAACGGTTATATATCATTTAATCCAAGGAGTTGAATGATTCCTGAATTTGCAGCGTGGTATTTCTTTAATTTTATGAAGTTATTTCATTAATGATTCAGATGTTATCAATCTTTGTAGTCCTAAGAATTTATTTTCCTACCAATGGTTTCAGATCGATATCTTGGTTACAACAATTGAATGGTGCCTGCATGACAAGCATGAACAGTAGTTCAGGAGTAGGGGCTCTAGGTGCAAGCTCTTTAGCTCCGCACTCAGCTGCCTTCCCTCTTTCTCCATTTCCTGGATTCCCTTCTTCTTTTGAGTCCGAATGCCGATATGGTCAGATAGGTGGACAGACAGTAAACGGCTCTTATAACACAACTTCTGGGCTGCAATGTTACCTCAGAGACTCCAATTGCCTTGCTGGAACGTTCTCAGCCCTTAGGCCCGATCTAATCTTTTTGAGTCAGACGTCAGTTTTAGCCGAACTTATTTCCACTTCACGCGAAATCCGTACTCAAGGATCCTCTGGACATTCGGCAAGCCGACTGCTGGCCGGAGCAGAGGAGCCTGCATTTTCTTGGTCGCCCAGCCTCCCACAATCTGGTGGGGAAACTGGAGCTGAATCCGTACAACCAGGTAGTTGATGAATCGTTTATTCATTTTTATTTCCGTTGCTTTTCTTCTGAACAATATTTTTATTAATCAAAGATATGAAGACCATGATGGTGTGGCCTTTTGTGTGGTCGCAGTCTCATTTCGTTGTATAGAAGTTGTTTGACCTTGTTTTCACAACTCGGTCATATTGGTTACAAGACTTAGAGGAACGCACCTAGTACGGAGTCCATTGTATGCATCAGCATTTCCAAAGTCGGACTGTGGACGTGGTACATG